TTCATATTCTTATTATACAAGAAATTTATTAAATGGGGAGGGTCAAGATAGAAAATGGCTAGTGTACTCAAAATATGTAGATAAAGTGTATTGTTTTTGTTGTAAGTTGTTTAAATTTGTGAAAATTAGAAGTTTGGTGGCAAATGAAGGGCTTAATGACTAGAAACGTTTAAATGAGAGGCTTAAACAACATGAAACTAGTATTGAGCATATTGATAACATGAGAACTTGGATTTACTTGCAAATTAGATTGAAAAAGAATGAAACAATTGATAAAGAGCTACAAGTGAAAATTAAAAAAGAGAAGGAACATTGGAAATTGGTTTTAGTAAGAATAATTTATGTTGTGAGATGCGTTGCTAAAAGAACTTTAGCTTTTCGTGGAGATGATGAGGAAATTTACCAAGATGACAATGGTAAATTTTTGGTGCTGCTTAAAATAATGAGATTCATTATCACTATCTTCGTCATAAAATTCAAAATGAGTTGGTTAGAAGTGCTATAACTGAAAAAAGGTAGAAGAGTATTTTTTTAGAATACTTGATTGTACTCCGAATGTAAGTCACCATGACCAAATGACTTTAATAATTCGATGTATAGATGTGTCAAATGTTCCCATAAAGGTAGAAGAGTATTTTTTAGAGTTCTTGAAAGTGGATAATACATCTGGATTTGGGCTTTTTAATGAGTTACAAGTTGTATTAAAGTGTCTTGAACTTGATATTATCAATGTAAGGGGCCAAAGATGGAAATTGACCCTATATTTCTTGAAAAACATCAAAGTCGTAGGAAAAAAACAATTTGATGAAAATGACCATGAAGAGACATTTCAATCTGTTGAAGAATCTTTTAGGGTTAGTTATTTTCTTATTGTAGTTGATGCTGCAACTTCTTCTTCGAGGAGTAGATTTGAACAATTAGAAATATTTGAAGGCAATTTTGGTTTTTTGTTTGATCCTAAGATTTTTTTTCACATGAATTATAGTACATTGCATGAATGTTGTACAAATCTTGAAGCTGCTTTAACACATGATATCGAATCTGATATTAATGTTGATGATTTGTTTTCTGATTTGGAAGTGTTACCAATGTATTTATGAAAAAGATAAAAGCAACCATTGAAGTTCTCGAGTTTGTAAAAGTGGTGGATTATTATCCAAATGTCTCAATTGCTTATAGAATTATATTGACTCTGCCAGTAACTGTGGCATCTGCAGAAAAAGTTTTTCGAAATTAAAATTAATAAAATCTTATTTGAGATCAACTATGTCACAAGAAATGTTAAATGGATTGGCAATCTTATGCATTGAAAAGAATATGTTGGAAAATATTGATTTTGAAGAAGTTATTGATGATTTTGCTTCCCAAAATGCTAGAAGATCAAGAATTTTTCAGTGATTGTTTGTATTTTTAATGTTATTGCTTTTGTTTTTTGATTTGTAGATGATGGATGGAAGTTAAAGCAGCTTTTTGTGTACAATTAAGCCACTTGAGAACTTTGGTTTTGTTTTGTTAGAATTTTTGAAGCTTTACGAATCTAATATGATTTTTGTTGTCTATGGATCATGTACTTTTGGTTTTTTTTTGTTAGTTGAATGAAATTATTTTATTTAAGCAGGCTTAGTTGTTTTGTGGGGCTTTGCCCTTTATTCATAAAAAGAAAAATGCATGAGCAAACTCACACCAAAAAAAAAAAAAAAAAAAAACATGTATACGAAGGGCCTCATTTAATTTTTGGCCATGGACCACCAAAATGTCAAGGCCAGCCTTGGTTTCAAGGTTACTTTCTAGAGGAAGAGAAGGTTAAAAAAAGTGATGGTTAAGAGAGTGGGACCTCCAAAAGATGATGATTGGGAGAAGGCATTAACTTTGATGCATTTTCTCAAAAAGTTTTATGATGCTAGATTGAAATTTAATGCAACCAAAACTTGTACATCCACAATAATTTTCCTAGAATTGGTTGGGCTACAAGTTCAAATAGAAAAGAAAATGAAGGATCCTAGAAATCCTACCATGCAACAGGTAGAATCTTCAATGAAGTTGAAATTTGACAAGTATTGGGGGATCTTTGAGGTTGTGAATAAGCTTATATTTTTGGGCAATGTACTAAACCCAAGGATGAAGCTTCAAATAAGCTTTGGCAATCTTGGGGCGAATGCTAGAAAGTAAGATGAGATTGTTAGTGAGGCTGTAAAGTGTTTGAATGATTTGTATAATGAGTATAAAGAGGTTGGGGGTGGTGTTGCGAGCCAAATTGATGAGGAAGGTTGCACAAATTGGTGAGGATGTTAATGTCACATTTCAACTAATGAAACAACTTATGCAAAGAATGAAGGATGAGCAATCCATTAAGATATCCAATGAAGTGGATAAGTACTTTACGGATCTTTTTGAAAGCCCTTTGAGCAAACAAAATTCAATATCTTGAATTGGTAGAAAGGGAACCAAACAAGATTTCCAATTCTTTCACAAGTTGCCAAGGATATCTTTGCAATTCCAAGTTGTACGGTTACTAGTGAAAATGCTTTTAGCCTAAGCAAGAAGATTGTGGATCCTTTTATAAGCTCATTGCATCCTAAAATGGTAAAGGCATTAGTGTGTACTTCTGATTGGCTTAGGGCAGATGAATTTATACATTTCACAAGGAACAACAGATGATGAGATTGAATTCTACAAGGAAATGGAACATGTTACAACTTGTAAGTAATTAATTTATTATTTTCATGTTCTTTATGCTTCTTATAATATTTTTTTGAATGTAGGGGCGATGAGCGGTTGGGTTCTTCTAGTTTTTCTCCTTCTTGGATTAATTACAGCATTATGACTTGGCATTTAGTTGGGTGAAGATGATGGGCAGATATCGACACAGGTTGGGTTGGTTTTGGTCCTAATCCGTCATCCAACTCATACATAGCGGCTTCTGATTTCTTGGGAGCTGCTTATTATTAGACCAACCCAATCCAACTCTTTTGTGATCGAGTTGGGCCGTTTGATTAGGTTAACCCAAAATTATGCCCACTCTTAAGTTTAGGTTCCAACTCGTACATAACAGTTTATGATTTTTTGAACCCAAGACCCACTCATTACTAGGCCATCCCTCATGATCGGGTTGACCTATTCAATCAAGTTAACCCAAAATTGTAAGCCCAAAGTTAGGTTAACTGTGTAAAGCAGGGTACCCATTCCTTTTTCACCCACTCCAATCCCCTCCTCGTACATTAGAATAGTATAGATATTTGTATTATCAAAACAGAAAAAGAAAAAAAAATGAAAATGTTGAGGGTTCTGAAGGAAATGTTATGCTTCTAAAGGAATGGTTGCAGCTTCTAATAGAAATGTTATTGCTGCCAAGGGAAATGATGTTCAGTCAGTTCCAAAAGACAGGTTGTTGGATCTTAAGGATAGGAAAAAGGGGATGAAGGAGGTCTTAGAGGTGAGGAGAGAGTGGAAGAGTTTGATTTCTTAAAAATTGCTAGTGACAGAAAATTAAGTCAAAGAAATAAAATGAAAAACTTCATTTGACCACATATTATTTCATACTTTTGGATACTCATCCAACATGATGAAAACTGCTTACAAAATGATGAACGTCTCAAAGTCAGTCATTACATACCACTTCACATGAACTACTTATTCTCATAACGGTAAGGAAATTTACAAAGCTCATGAGGTACAAATAAGCATTATGGCATGACAAAAGACACATGCTCATGTGGCTTTCCATGAAGACACTGGCGGAGTTTCAGAGTTCTTCCAAGTACTAAAGTCATTCCGATATCTGCCACCTTTAACGGCATCAGCAGAAGCAAAAGATTCAAGCTCAGCCAGTTCTGGTGTCAGTTTCACACAGAGAGCACCAATGTTCTGGTTAAAATTCTCAATCTTGGTGGTTCCGGGTATCGGACACATCGTTTCCTTGATGATGAACCCAGGCCAGTGCTAGCTGAGATGGGGTGCACCCCTTCCTTGCTGCAAGATCACGAACCTGCTCGAATATTGTTTTATTATGCTCTAGGTTTTCGGCTTGGAACCTAGGTAGATACTGCAACCAACAAAGTAATCAAGGTTAAAATGACTTTATCAAAATGATATGATAAAGAGGAGGCACAACTCAAAGGCCCTGATAAGAAGTCAACATAACTTTGTAACACTACAATAGAGATTCCTTCAGATGTTGTGCAGAAATCCATTCTTTTCATGGCATTACAAAATATTTTAGGATTGCAGTGAAGAAGTCAGCTAAGGCAGGTTCATAATGATAATGATCATAATGTTATTCCTTTGTTTTTCTTTTTTCAACTCGAGTAACACTGTCAGACAGTGCACTGTAAATTACCAGATAATTAGTCTAAGTGGGGTGTGAACACAAAAATACAGTTACTTTCTATGAAGTAAGGAGAAGCTGATGGGCAAGCTGGCTTGCATGTTTGTTTCTTCAAATTGTAACAAGGGTGGGGGGAAGTGAATTCCAAAAACAAATAAATAAATAATATTAAAAGAAACCACTCTGATTTGGCCTAATTCAACTCTGAGAATTTTTTACCTTAGAACATGATTATATTAAGAATATTTAAGCCTTGGGACTATCTGGATAAATCAGGGATACTTGGATACAGCAATTCTAAAAAAAATTCTTTTTTCCGTGTGAACTCAACAAGAGGGTTCTAGCCTGCAAGGAGAGATTACTAAAACTTGTGAGATCAATTACTAATTTGAGAACCTTCTAGGAGATACAAGGACATTCACAATGCTACTAATTTTCTCTAATATGCATGCACTTGTGCACCTGAAAATCAATATCTATGTGGCATATCAACACACCGTTCGGAAATCATCATTGGGAAGATTTTCAAAGAACTTAGCTCCTGATGAAAAGAATCATCTTCCTAGAGGACTGTATGCAACAATGCCGATGCCAAGTTCAATGGGAAAATCGAAAAAATGAGATTAGCATGAAATTTTACATACTTCATAAATAAATCAGTTAGTTCCACTAAGACTCACCGCCAAGTAGGAATTATATCTTCCTGCACATCTCTTGACCACAATGACCACTCCAACTGCACAGCTGTTATTGGATGAACAGCGTGTGCTCTTCTTATTGTGGAAGCAGAGGCCTCGGGTAGGCCAATGTACTTTACCTTACCTTCTTCAACTAGTTTCTTGAGTTCCCCAACCTTGTAAATGACATGATAAATGAATTTAAGGAATGACATGCATTTCTCAAAATAAGTGAATCATGATGCATGCCAGTACAAAAAAGAATAACACTGACAGTCAAGCATATAAGGAAAGTAACATAGCTACAGCCTACAATAAATTTATGCTAAAGTTTGTGTAATTTGACTAATTTAGATATGATATATGCACTTAAATAGATACAAAAGAAACTAGTGCTCAATCATGTTAATCAAATGGTGGTTCACAAATCTCCAAACACACTTGCTTAATTCAAGATTAAAAATTTAAAAGATCTGGACTCTAGATGTATAAAATACAAATTTCTCCTATATCCAGTGCAAAGGTTAGACAGATGATAAAGATAATAACTGAGGGTCAAACAAAGAAAAATCAAGATGAAATATTTTTCAGTTAAAATCAGTAAGAAGATTTACACAAACCATCATCTGAAATTGTTGATAAATAACTAAGAGTAATTCAAACTTTTATAACTAGTTCATCGTCACTTGACGCTTAAAGATATGAAAATACACTCATCGGGAGATTCTCCAATAAGTATTTTATGATAAGGATTGGTTACATACTTCTAATCTTGGCCGTTGGATTGCCTTCATTAAATATATTGGTAGTCTCTTAGATGCAATCCAACGGCCAAGATTAGAAGTATGTAACTAATACTTAAATACTTATTGGAGAATCTCTCTACACTCATCAATGACAACCTTTTCACACTTGAACAACTCAACACAACTTAGTTTAGAAAATGGAACTAAAAAAAGGGTTCCAATCAAAAAGAGATGTGGTCAAACCTAAGATGCACGGATACGCGGACTTAGGTCCGTATCCTGTATCAGATACGCAGTCAGATACGATACGCATCGGATACACTCAGATACGCATTGGATACATATAAACATTGGATACGATCTTTGACTAACGGATATGTGTATTCCAGATTCTGGACACAAGTATCAGACATTTCGGATACGTTTCTGGTCAATCTTGAAGCTTGAAGCCAGAAGCCAAAGAGAGGGAGAAGGAAAGATTGGAGAGAGAGAGAGAGGAGAGGAGGAAGAAAAATAAGAAGAAGAAAAGATAGGACGTACGCTG